CGATAAAAGTTTCTCACGTCGAAGAGGATAGCCAGTCAAAAAGAAAGAGACGCTACGATCGTGGCAGTCGGCAAACATCAAAAGTCACTTATGCATCGCTAATTTTTTTATTTTTCATCCATTTTTTTATATAACTTTCTCTATCATATTCGTGACATTTTCTTGACTAAAATGAGACCAAACACGACGTAATTTAAGTTATATTTACTTGCAATATCTTATTAGAGTAAAATCATCGATGTACGCGTAACACTTCTAGAGTAAAATCATCGATGTACACGTAACACTAGAAATTACAAGTAAATATGTCCCGAAGTATGTCGTGTTTGGTCTCATTTTAATGAGAAAAATGTCAAGAATTAATTGGTAAAAGTTTGATAACAAAAAAGTCAAAAATAAAAAAGTTTTATATTTGCATTGGGAGTGTCCTAGTAGGTCACTGTTTGTTTACGTTCGGTCTCCTTCGGCAAGACATTAATCAATGAAGGACCTGTACGATATACGCAAAACCTCAGACCCGAAAGATTTGCTTATATAGAATGTCCACTGTATTAAAAAGGGAAAGGATGTTATGTTCTGTCCTCGTCTTAAGAATAACATCACTGCTCGACCGATTACTTTATAGTTTACCGCTACTGTCGGCGCGCTCGGGAACAAAGGCAAGCCGAATAGCATACCACCCTCGAAATAAGCAACTGGCCGGTCCTAAGCGTGTTGCTTGTTTCGAGACAATACTGTAGAGGCAATACTGTACTGTACGCACTACGCTAAGGACTGTTCTCAGGCTCGACCTTTTTATGCGGGTTATTTCCGGGTATTTTATTCCACTTCCCAAGCGGTAGCGAAACTTCAGCACTTAAGAACAACGACAATTCAAGTCCTAAATCAGGAACTGAATTCGGTGACAGACTGAATTCTACCCTTTCCGACAGCTTTTAATGGTACGGAGAGGCGAAATTCTTGCTAGATAATTAGCAACGTGCCTCCTCTTCCTCTTGTTCTCCTTTTGCTCTCACCGATTTCCAAAGCAGGCCAAATAATACTAAAACAAATTGAGAAAGGTAGAATGTAATCAGCGAGACAAAAAGATATAATTATAAACCTACACTATTCTAAAGCTTTAAGGAAATGGCGTACAGACAGATCTCAGATAGACGAAGTGAACAGTGAGAAACGAATATCTACTAACCTCAACATCAAATATGGACGGCTTAACCACTCTCCGGCACATTTCAAAATTAAAAGAACTATTAATCTCAGGGCTTGTACAACTGACAAATAAAATTGCGTAACTGTTGTATACCAACCTAAACTAATATAGATATCCTACCCAACTATCCAATATCTCCGATGACCTCATCCTTAACTGCGATTCACACTGTCAACAATCAGCCCTACATCATCCTCAACCTTGTCCTATGCGTCATTTTTGAACCCCGTCCTTAAAAATTCCAACTCCCTCCACCACTCTTCAAAATACAGTAAAGACTGGATAACTGCGACAAACGATGGACTGGATAACTGCAACGTTACTATCCCC